CGATATCTAGGATACTTCGTTATTACTAACCCGATATCTAGGATACTTCGTTATTACTAACCCGATATCTAGGATACTTCGTTATTACTAACCCGATATCTGGTATACTTCGTTATTACTAACCCGATATCTAGGATACTTCGTTATTACTAACCCGATATCTAGGATACTTCGTTATTACTAACCCGATATCTGGTATACTTCGTTATTACTAACCCGATATCTGGTATACTTCTTTATTACTAACCCGATATCTGGTATACTTCTTTATAACTAACCCGATATCTGGTATACTTCTTTATAACTAACCCGATATCTGGTATACTTCTTTATAACTAACCCGATATCTGGTATACTACGTTATTACTAACCCGATATCTGGTATACTTCGTTCTTACTAACCCGATATCTGGTATACTTCTTTATTACTAACCCGATATCTAGGATACTTCGTTATTACTAACCCGATATCTGGTATACTTCGTTATTACTAACCCGATATCTGGTATACTTCTTTATTACTAACCCGATATCTATGATACTTCGTTATGACTCACCCGACATCCAGGATGTCTAGCTAAACGATGCATTCGTCATTGATGTAGAACTAAAAGAATAGTAAAAATAGATAATGGACTGTATTGAAGAGTACAGAAGATTTTCCAGTGGTAGTTAAAATTCTGTTATAAGATTATCACACTTGTTATGTCTAACTTGATCTCTAGGATACCTATTCATTACCGACTCAATATCTACTTACATCCACCTGTTTTATATCAAAGCAATGTATGTAACCTTATACTTGTGTTTTTCGTAAGGAGTATATTCTCTGGCTGCTACAAGACTAACGATCTTCGTCGTGTAAGGTATTTCACCCATGATGTAAAATGATATCAAAGCTTACTACAGTTACTTCCCTTTGAACGTGTTCTTTAGTTTCTTCCCTTTGAACGTGTACTGTATTATAAACGTTCTTTATAATTAAATTATTGTTGTTGTTGTTACCTGCATTTAGGGTAATGGCTACAACTGGTTTACCCGTTGTCAGTATAATGTGACCAATACTGTGCTGACTGTCTTCTCAGTGGTATTTCACTGAGGTAGCACTCTAAAGTCGGCATGAGATCCGCGCTATCGCAAGGAGGCAATTACACCAACATACCCTGCCTCCGTCACACATTATTACCTAAACTGGTAATAGGACGTTTAACAAAACGAAACCTTCATTACATCTTATTTTATTTATATTACGTGTACCTTTGTCTTTAGTCTACACATTATTTATTGTATAATTATATCAAAATTCAAGAACATTTGTATTCATATATACAAGTGTATACTTTGTTTTTAATAAAAAAAAAACAAAAAAACTCGGGCATATTTCCGTACATTTGTCCATTCATTGATCATCCGCTTTCCGCAGTTTTCTCTTGTTTTTATGTTGTTGTTTTTAAACGGGTTTCTATCATTTAGTGCATGTATATCAATTAGAAAGGATTACAAAAAAATGCAACACTTGGAAAACAGGTATGACTATGAATATAGGGCAAGGGAACTATTAATATATAGCAAAAGGGAGAAAACTCGAGCTAAACCTCAAACTCACACTTTGGGAGATTATTTCAGCATATCTCATTTGCTTACACTGTTAATATTTTTGGAAAGTTCAGAAATCCTATTATATGGGAAAATAATATCACGCTTTCTTTTTTTTCTATTTTTGACACTACAGACCATTTTTAATCTAGGTTATACCTTATCAGACATGTTGAACTCCATCGCGGTAATACAGTAATTTATGGGTGTAACTCCTACATCCTTTAGGTCTTTTTGCAAGTTTTAAGTCGAGTTACTTCCCTTAGACTATTTCTCTATATATTGTTACTATGGGAAAACCAATTCTTTTTATATCGGTGACGCAATTGGAGGTAAGCATACAGGATGTGGTTATAAATAGAAAGTGACGAAAAGAAAATTTCCAAACTTTTCCTTTCTTCGTTAGACTAGTATAGCCACAGAGGTGTGTATTTATGATTAAAATAAGATCCGATTTATTACAACTTATTTTGCAAATTTGAGGAAAGGATGTGAAAAATTACCAGAAACGAAGGTAAACAAATGTCATCGAAATATTAGACAAATACTATTATACGGAAGCCTTCAAGTGCAACACAGAACAAAAAAACACGTCTTAATAACGATATAACTAAACCGTCATCACGACATGATATTTCACTCGGTGATCCGTAATAGCTTCCGTAGTATTTTGAAATTTTATTTATTATTTCAATCACTTCAGAATAGCACTTCACATCGATCATTTAATAGCACAAAATATACATCCTTACAAAATAAGCTTCTGTTCAATATAGTGTATTTTGAAACGAGTTAGGTCCCCAGTTTAATCATTCACCAGTGATATAAGAATGGCAATTTCCGATATACACAACTGCACTTCAGAGTATAGGTGTATATCAAAAATATTTTTTCAAGAAGGGATTTTTAACTGTATATCAGGTTTGATCAAACAGAAACAAAACACAAAACAAAGGCTGATTTAGAGAATCCCAATTGAATGCCTTTATAAGAAAATCTGAATGGAGTGAGTTTAACCTAAATTAAGCTGTAATTAATCTAATGAAACTGGAGAGTCAAGCTTCTAGACTCCCGGCCTTGATGAAGACAGGGCGTGCACACTAGAGTCACGAAAGGCGCCATGGAGGACGACAAACGGACGAGTAATAAGTATTACGTCATTGTGATCGGGTCACGTGATTGACACAAGACACTGCCTGTAATTACAATGTCTCAAACAGACGGATCGTCTAATGCTGTTGTGATAGTAATCAAACTTTATTACAAAGGTATTAAGCTTAAGCGGAGACAGGTTGACATTTTGTTTTCATTCTCAGCCATTTTATTTCCGGGACTAGTACACACAACCGTCTACTGTGTCGGGACTTCAAACATTTGATCGGGTCGAAGGTGTTAGCCAAGGACTAGTTCCGTGCGCAAGCTTATTTGCAATAAGATTTAAAATTGTAATAAATAATCAGTGCATATTTTTCAACAATTCATATTATAAATGTATCTTTTTTGAAACATCTAAATTTACAGTAATCATTGTTTTCCACTTTGCAGCTGTAATGTATATATCATCATTATTGTTTTAAGGTAGAAGACGAATTTCAAGTTTTTTTCATTCGTATTTTTGAAAAACAAAATTGTTTACATAAAAAAAATCAACTACCTTGTTGCCAAAATAATCACTAAAAATATAAATATTTCTCGAGCGTATGCTACCGTTGTACGTTAGTGCACGATTTTAAATACAATACAAATTAAAAAAAGAATATTATCAATATTTACGATTTTCAATAAGCGTCATCGTAATTTACTAAAGATTCGTAGGTCAGTGGCCTTTTTATATAATCTTTTATTATGAATTAATTTATTGTTTCACAAAGAAAGCTTATACAATTTCACTCGCCTAGGATTCAATCTACATGTAAACGTAGTAATACTATTCAATTATAGACTTTGGCTGAGGTCGATACCTGGATTAATCAACCCTAGAAAAGATATATTAACAGAGGACGCAGGAAGTTAAAGGCTACAATTGTATGCAAGACAGTTTCTATATCACTTGTCGGGAATAATATGAAAAGAAAATAAAGTAAATTAATACCGAATTATCTTAGCACTAATCTTGATATTTTAGAAATAATAATGATTTTTGTTGATAACTGTATTTATCACGATTAAAAAGCATGGAAGAAATATCAACCCGTGTGTTAGGCGGAGCCTCCTATAGCCCGCTACTGTGGGAGTCAGGGCCAAACTATTTCTCCACATCTGTTTTGTTTTAGGAAGAAATGCACTTACACAGTGGTATGATACATGTGGTAACTAAATAGATTTGACCTTTCGTGACCTCAGTTGGTATGCGACCCTTTTATCCAGACGGTAACATGTTAAGATCTGTAGGTAATATATTGTGGCCGATAATAACTTGACTTAGTGGTAACGAGTGCAAAAATATCAAATTATGGGTATGTATCCGAGACATTTATTTTTTAAAACGTCTGTGAATATTGTAAAGTTCAATATTAGTTTTTATAAGAACATTAATTGTTACACCAATGATTTGAATTTGCATTTTGGTAATATAGGTTCATCTTCCTCAGTTTAAGCACGCTTCTGTAGCACCTTATTCTTTATATGTTATGAAAATCAATCCTACATGTGACGCCACATGTCCAGCCTGATTCAGGTGCGGTGATAAAACAATTTAACAATATGTCCAGTACGCAATACGTGCATCCAAACCGGTATATCGATTTCAATCTGAACAAAGTGATGATGATATATATATATATATATATGTACTTTACCTACATTAATTATTGTTATTTAAATTCTCCTGGTGTGAACGTGAACACCATAAAACAAGTTAATGTTCACCAACCTTGACAGTCGGAACACATTTAAAAAGTGCCACTAAATGTATACAAACATGCTATGCTATAAACAAACGTGACTGATATATTCAAATCTCCTGTTGTCGAGGCCTGCGGTTGGCTGGCGGGGTCAGATATTACAAAGGCTTCAGGAATTTCTACCTATTCAGGTGGATACAGCGATCGGCGTGTGAACGAAAGCCGTAGTGTAACAGGTCGTCGTGCTGGCTTGAATGAATGAACAATCTAGGGTCATGACCCCAAGCAAAATTATTAGCCAGCGCATTTTGTTATCAACGAAAATGTGGTATATTTTCAGGTGTTCCGATAGCTTTCCGTAATATATAAATGTTCAGTTCGAACAGCGTATCTGAAAAACGAAGTACTTATCTTGTTCTAAACAAATTCGATTCAAAACGATTAACACAATTGTGTATTGTGCTCGTGTTTCAATAGCGATCTATGGGCGGAGTCACCGGGTTCAAGACACAGCAATCTGATTGGCTGGATTGTTATCAATGGGCGTTCCCGCGACTGTCTGACAGTTTCGTTCATTGAAGTTCGTCGATCACAGCGACAGCGTGTAAACCATTCACTCGCCAGCCGTGGGAATACATGTGGGTACGCTCCGTTGTTCATTTGTGTTCGCCTGCTATATTACGTTTACTTTAGTTATTAACGGATTACTACAGCTAAAAAATAAGGTAAGTTCATCATATTGATCAAATATGTAACGAATATCGAGTGATTGCGGATCCCTGGATAATGTCATGTTCTATTTTTTTAATATTTGCAAGTCACATGCTTTTTAAAAATCCTGACGCGTCATCCTCTGTTGGAGAGGTTTTTGTCATGTAGGTGGCTGTAACGATTTCTTCAATATTGCTTGAAACGGTGTAGGGTGCTTGTACACTGTACTTCTTTTAAAAAAAATGTCATTTTACCATAAAATATGTTGGTACGATATTGTGAGATGAAACTGACAGTGAGATTTTTTACTTCGTGACCTGAATCACGTCTAAATGTTGCCGTGACGCAACGCAACTGTAAAATTTGCATGTCGGCTTTTTGAGGAATTTCCTGCCCCAAGGTAAAACTCTGGCTACGAGCAGACACAGAAAACCGTGTCGAGTACATATTTTCAGGGTTTTGGGAGGAAATGTTTTAACAGACGGTGACTCATTGCCGAGTAGCCTTAAAAGCCAAATTGTTACTTAGCCCTTTTACAAGGACGTGTTCATTTAGCTGAATATATATTGTATTTAACAAATCTTAGTTTAAATAGTAAACAACATCAATCTATTTTTGAGGAAAAGCTACTGGGAATATTTTTTCATAAGCACATTTGCCCCATAAGAATTTGAAATTTAGTCGGTTATGAATTAAAGATTTTATTCACGTTTTATATGACATAAATAAATTCATTGTTGAACAAATTTCGAACTTGAAGTTTTGACTGTCCGATGGGTTTTGTTTTTAACTTTCTGATCGTTTCACATTTCAGATTCATCATGGCTGTAGAGACTCTGATCGTGTTTGGATTATTCAGTCTGGTTATGGGGACCCAACAGCAGATCCCCAGCTGTAAAACCTCTCAATACTTTGAAAAAAGTTTAAACGTGTGTCGACCCTGCAGACAATGTCCTGTAAACGAAGTTATCCGACATCCCTGCGAAAAAACCCGGGACACTGTGTGTGGACCTTTCATCGAATTCGACGAGTTCCACCAAGCACCGTTCATCAACCTTCTGCCAAGCAAGAACAATATTTCCCAAGAAGTATTTGTGACCAATGAATTAAATATTGATGTGAACACCCCGAATAATGACCCCTCGGACGTTCGTGGACAGGCCCCGATTACAATGAAGAACGGGAAGTGGTACACGCTGGCCATGGCATTACTCGGAGTGTTATCGTTTGTTTCTCTCTTCGTCATCGTCTACATCATCCTCGTATGTTTCGTCTGCAAGAAACGCCGAGAGGAAAAGGAAATCATCTATGATCCTGGTAAGCTTGATTTTTCGTCCTTCAGACACTTTCCCATTTATCCCCCCCCCCCCCATTTTTGGCCAAAAAGTATGTCGACTGCAGTAAAAATGTAAGTAACACTGATGAATCTCCAGGACAAACCCCCTTCATCGAAAATTCATCGATTTTCATGAACTGTTTTGGTGTAAGAAACGGTGGGGTGAGGAGACGTGCAATTGAAGTTCCCCCTCCCTCTTCCTTATAATTTTAAAGACGTATTGATCTGTGAGGTTAGTCGCTGTTGGTGTTACATTTTTTTCGATATCGAAATTAAACATTGGATCAAGTGTAAAAGAATTGATATATTGATTCGTTAGCGCTTTCATCCAGCAAATATTTTCCTACTCTGTAGTAACCTTTCATCTCAATGTACTATAAGGAATACATTCCAGCCATTTTGTACGATTTGTAACCAACGAATCTTTGCAGCATGGCACATGGGTGTTTGGTCCTAATCTTTGGAAATTGAAATGGATTCTCCATTCTCGGAAGAGATCCATCAAGCGCTTCTTTGCAAAGTGCACTCTTCTCAATTTTAGATTGGAATGGCGCGTATCTTATAACATGTGCCGATAATTAAATTTTTATTTCCGACATTTAAATCTGTAATCAACCTGATTATTCAAACTAGTTTTTAGTATGAATTTAGGAATATGGAAGTAATTAAAATTTAATTTAAGTAATCTTGAACACGTGCTCTATATGCGATTTATTTTCAAACGTGCAGGTTTGAATTAAAAATGATCCGAGAAAATCTTGTTTTAATGAAATATAAGTTTTTAAAACTTATCATTGAGGATGTTTTGCGCCGCCACGTGCCTCGGGTGATTTGAAGCAGGCGTGTAATTAGCTGAGCGAGGACACGGGACTAAGCTACGCTCGTCTACACCACAGTCCGCTGTGACCTTAGCAATGCTCTTAATCTCTTTCACATTACACACCCTGAAATTCAATCGGCGACAAATTCGGCTAACGTGTTCGCATTATCTATGTTCAGTGAATACTTCGGGATTTTTATCCTTCTCCCTTCTTTCATTATCAACGGCTTTAATGATATTCACTATCCGAAACGTCGGCCCTTTTTTCAAAACGGTAGAAATCAGATTAAGAACAAAATCTTTATATCTGATTTAATTGATTTTGTATTCTAAATACATGGTTTTGGCCTTAAGGATGTCGTCCTTAAGGATGTCGTCCTTTATGACTTATGACATCTAGCAAAATTATTTGGCATTGAGAAACGTTTGATGTACATATCGGATATTAATGGACCAAGTTCAATAAGTGCGTTATTTTTAACAAATGAAAGAAATAGCTGAAGTAGACTTATTTATAATACAAAACAGCCTTTTTCTAGAAATGAAAAAAATACACAACGATCATAATCTATGTTCAAAAAAGTAACTCTTTGCTTTATAAATACAAAATGTATGATGTTGGTGTCGAATAAAGTTGCATGTTGCGACGAAAAGCCACGTGGTATTGTATAATAGATGGTCCTATTTTGTAGCCCCCAAACACTTGACTCTCTCTCGCCTTTTTATTCTTAATTTATACCAAGGTGCACTGGGTTCGAGAATTAGGGATCGTCCCCTATTGTAAGTCCGACAGAGCAGAACTGCCAGAGACAAACGCCGCCTTGGTTCATTTTCGATCGCTTCCCGTGCGAGAACATTATAACCCCGGCAAAAATGCGAGGAGGGAATGTTTCACAATAGGCAATATCGTCTGCTCTGCGGATGAAAGGAAGGCATTTTAAAGAGGACAGGAAATGCAATTTTATAACAGAGAGGAAACATGCCTTGCTGATAAAAATAATGCAACATTGTCGTTTTTGAAATGGAGAATTGTAATTCATTCAAGTTTTTTTTATTTAATATCGCGGCTTATCATTAAAGTAAATGATGCGGAGATGTCAAATTTATGACTGCTTTGATTTGTTAGATTCAGTTTATCAACTCGGCCGTGAATTGTGATAACATTGAATTCACCGAATGCACGGCGAGTGTTTTATAACTAGAGCGTATACTTCTTGTGTGTTCAGTAAAATAAATATCGCTTTTCTCGCACATGAAAATGAAGTAAAGCATCGAGTTTAATTTTTTAATCGTCAACGGGTTTGGAGGGACCGGTCCGTGTACTGAAACCTTTGTAGTTATGTAGGGGGAATCACGTACAGAAACGTTCGTGAAGTTATATTGGGGGGCAATGCAAACTTCCGGTAATCAACACCGCTGTCATTGTCAGGCTGATGTCGGTTACAACACGACCGTAACTGACAACCCTGTCACAACTACGGCAGGACAGGAACATTCATCATAATTACTGATACAACAGATGTAAATTTCATCACCAGCATGTCCCGTTGAATGACCCGTGTCAAGCTGTCGCTCTAAATATGGGCATAAATACTGATACGGTAACTCAAGGAAACCATCAATAGCCCGCACCATTACTAATGATGATGGAAACAGTGGAATTTTGAATAATTAAATATTATGAATGAATTTTCTCACGTATTGCTGTAATTGTACTCCGCCACGTTAATATAGGTCGTAAATGTGACCTCTTAATATACACTATAATGTGCCCGAGTGAAATAAAAACATTCTGGAATATGGCACCATATGTGTTAGTTTGCTACGACATGTGTGTACGTTTCTGCTTGAAATAGGTCAAACACAACTTTATAATTGTATTTTTAAACTTTGTGTCATTTTGCTACTTTAATCTATTTTTGAATTGTTAAAAAAATATTTTCAATTCCATAGTTTGAGATCTGCCAAATACAATTTTATAAATGTGGTGAAAGCTAATGGTTTTCCTTAAATAATCCATCTTTGAATCTCTTATGAATTGCATTAAAAAACCAGCTTCAAATGTTGAAACTCTTTTGTCGTTACAGAAATGTGCACTCCTGCGCCGTCACCGATGCAGACGTACTACCCTCCGCGCAACAAGAAGGCAACGTCGGCCGACGTGGAGGAGAGCGACGATAGCTCCGGCGGCGGTCGGATGATAGTGCTCCCAAATATATACACGCCGTTCACAAGCCAGGATTGCGAGTACGATGCGGATAACAGCGGACAGACCGTGTCATCCGGCTCCACTAACTACGTCTACTTCAAGGCGCCGACCTCGTCGTAGTAGGATACGATTACTATGTATGATTTTAATGTTTTGGAAACTTGAGAATATCTATGGTACAAGTAGTACCGTGCTTGTGTTGGCATACAAATTCAAATTAAAACGGGATACAGATTTTTCACGATGTGACGGTTTGACGAAAATATATAATTATTTGATGCTACCATGGAAAGGTGAATAGGTATGGGTGTGTTGGCCTCGGACATCTTATGGTCATCTAGTCAGTGGAAACGCCTTCCCCCAAAATGACCACTGTCCTTCGATAGCCAGTGGCAAACGGACCAAGTGCAACCCCTTCTGATCTGATCACGTACAACGGACCCGCCAACAAAGTACGCCCAACGAAGCCTGACCGTTCCGTGAGGGAATGTACTTTAATATGCGAGGTAATTATTTGTTTATAATGCAAAATTTCTTTCCTTAATGTAAAAATTAAAAACAGTATTGTATTTCCACCCTTCATTTCAAAATCATCTCGGCTTCTGTTGAAATCGGACAGATTTGACAGAAGGCGTACTCCTATGTTTTGGTGTTAAATGGAAGATAAACAACTATGTATTCTCCCGCGGTAATGTATCTTCCCGTGAAATGCAAATGATCAACAACTTCCAAGATATCGCTTAGTTGCATTATTTAAACTTGTCCGTATCGTTGCCCCCCAATAGACATTTTTCACTTTAGTAGTTTACCTGTGTAACTGAGGTGACACTGATTTCCCGTCTTATTTTCTATTTTCAGTGCTCTGCAGTATCAGATTCCAGTTGCCATGCTAGAGGCCCGGGATACCCACGTGACTAAGACTTTCCTTACAAGGACAAATACTGTTTTATGTGTGATACATATAAAGTTCATGGAATTCATATTTTACCACGGATTTATAATAAACAAAAGGATGAGTTAATGGAACTTTTTGAGACATTACAAGGACCTAGAATATGTGGGACACATTTTATTCTGCTTGCGTTTTTTCCGAACAAGTGTGCTTTGTCTATTCACGTTTTGATTATTTGAAATCCGACCGGATTTTTCTTCGACTTCCGATTCGTTTCGGATATTTTTTTCTAAGTTGATTTAGATAAATATATTGACCAAAGGGACCAGATTGTCTCGATCATGAGATTCCAAAGAATACTAATATTTTGTATGCTATGTCTGTGATTTCTTTATTGTATTTATTGATTCTTTATTATTTTTCTATTTGATAATGATGATGCAAACAATGCAAGAAGTTTGTAATTATAAAATAACTTGAAATCAAAACCTTGTTCTTCCTGTTTTTCTTTGTCTTTCGCTACTGTGACGTCGCCATATTACCTCCAGCCCTTTTGAATAACCTTTGGTAAATTAAGATTTAGCATGATGAAGAATACTACAAGATGAACTGAGTTCATGTGACGAGTAGGACACGATGTATTACAGCTGGTGTGACGAGTAGGACACTATGTTTTACAGCTAGTGTCACGAGTAGGACACTAAATAAATAGCTTGTGTGACGGGTACGACACGATGTATTACAGCTGTTTTTACGAGTATGCCACTAGGTATAAATAGCTGATGTGACGAGTACGACACTAGGTTTAATAGCTCGTGTGACGAGAAGGACACAATGTATTACAGCTGTTGTGACGAGTAAGACACGATGTATTACAGCTGTTGTGACGCGTACGACACTGTATAATAGCTGATGTGACGAGTACGACACTAGGTATACTAGCTGATGTGACGAGTACGACACTAGGTATAATAGCTTGTGTGACGAGTACGACACGATGTATTACAGCTGTTGTGACGAGTAAGACACGATGTATATAGCACTATGCATAACAGCTGTTGTGACGAGTACGACACGATGTATTGCAGCTGGTGTGACGAGTACGTCACTATGCGTTACAGCTGCAAGTTCGACACTGCATTATAGCTGGTGTGACGAGTACGACACTGCATTAAAGCTGGTGTGACGAGTACGACGCGATGTAAAATAGTGGGGTGACGAGTACGACGCGATGTAAAATAGTGGTGTGACGAGTACGACGCGAGGGATTGATGGTGTGACGAGTACGACACGATGTATTACAGCTGTTTTGACGAGTACGACACGATGTATTACAGCTGTTGTGACGAGTACGACACTAGGTATAATAGCTGTTGTGACGAGTAGGCCACTAGGTATAATAGCTGATGTGACGAGTACGACACTAGGTATAATAGCTTGTGTGACGAGTACGACACGATGTATTACAGCTGTTGTGACGAGGACACTATGTATTACAGCTGTTGTGACGAGTACGACACGATGTATATAGCACTATGCATTACAGCTGTTGTGACGAGTACGACACGATGTATTGCAGCTGGTGTGACGAGTACGTCACTATGCGTTACAGCTGGTGTGACAAGTTCGACACTGCATTATAGCTGGTGTGACGAGTACGACACGATATATTGCAGCTGTATGCTGCAGTATGACAAGATGTATTAAGCTAGTGTGACGAGTATGCTTTTTGTTATAATGAATAATGAAAACAACATAAAAACAAGACATCTTACATCCACCTGATTAGGGATAACATGAACCTGGGCCCGTATGCACGAATACCGTTCTCGTGCTCAAGCATGGATTTTGTGCTCAAGCCTCATTTCTTGTTTCTATTATTAATATATAATAAAATCTAACTTTGTAAGAGACTTGAAGCCAAATACAGTTTCCAGTGTTAGCATTGGTCTTTTTGGTCGTTTTTAACGATTTAAAGGGACATCACGTGAAAAGGCGTTTTTTTTTAACGAATGTATGTATTGTATGCACTTCCACTTATGTTACCTCGCTATCCCCATATTCATAGTCCGTTCCAAATGTCCAGTTTGACCACTTGAATTGTTCGGGAAAGCCCGGCTAAAAATAGCGCCGATAACGTCACCTGATTAGGCAGCAAACACAAGTGGTGCGAGCGAGATGAAACGGTTTACAAAGGGGCCCTCAGAGAGGGGCCGTCAGGCAACTGCAACTTCTTACCGCACTATGAAACCAAGTTATATGATTTCTAATTCCGTATTCAAACTTATTGAACAGTAATTATTCATCATCAGAAGTTAATTGCACACTTGCCAATATTAAGAATTTAAATTTATTTAGCTTTTAACATAAATTTGTTGCCAATAAAATTAAACAAAGGATGGGGCACAAGTTTTTACAATTTATCACAGCCTTCTCCCGTGACCGGTACAGGTGGTACGGGGCTAAACACTCCCTCAACAATGGGACAAACCTTTCTGTAAAAAGGAATATTCACGAGACGAATATCCCTTTTCAAATGTTTACATAAAGTGCATATATGCAATGACAAACTACACGCGAATATAAAAAGGAAACGTTTGTGAATTTATTTATTACATTAAACAACTCAATGTCTTTGGCCATTTTTTTTCTAGACCATGAATATAAATCTATGTATACTCTCTTTCCCACTTTCACTGTCTCCAAACGCTAACATTTAGGAAGTCATATTAACCATCACACACAATAAACTGTATGGCAAAACCACTACGTGTACATGTAGAATATGTGTCAATAAGGAACGTGTTGAGATACTTGATAATTATATTTTTTCAATACTTTACAGAGATTAAAGCATACTTNAGTAAACTCTCTCCGATACATGCCCATTAACATATTAAACTAAGTTCATCTGTGTTCAAACTCACACAATGATACTAGCGAGGTTAATAGTTTTAGATATTTATTCATAACATAAACAGCGCTAGCATTTCTGTCGATTTTATTTCAGCTTAACCGGCCGCTATCCGGAAGAAAACATGCACCGTACTGACTGCTAGGGCAGTTATTTTCTGCTTTGAATACTTCCCACTGGCAATAATGATTCCGTAACGTACCCCTTGCGCTATCTTTTGACCATTTGGCAACTATTCGCTTCGTAGCTGACACGGTACAACACTTTTCTTTGGCTTACTTCACACGGCCAGTCATTTTGTTTACAAAGAAATGGTGTGCTATGCGCATGCGCTAGTAGAGGGAAATCCCTGAACAAAACGTTGTTCAGACAGGTAGAAATACCGATGATTATCTTAGATTTAATCATTTTTATGAATCTATTTCAGCCAAATCCGATCGGCATTTTCCATAAGGAGTCTCACTTGATATGTTTATGTAGTATTTGGAAAAAAGACAAAAAAAAGTTACTTCAGCGTGATGCCCCTTTAAGTGTTTGAGCATGAGAATGGTTTCATGAATATTGGCCCTGATGTCACTTGCTTCATCCACGAAATGGTTTACGTGATCAACGATGTTGGTAAACAAGACTAATCAAACTAGACTCTGACGTCACACAGCATTAATCAAGTCATAATGACGATTGAATGATTTCTAAGCGTACAATGATGTCCCTCTTGTAGAACTCCCTGTATAACGGAAGTAATTTCCATAATCAGGGGAATGCGGATATGTTACTGTCAAGGAAAGGAAAGTAACGCTCGAGAGGACAACACGTAGTTGTAGTTTGACCATTATTGATATACTGTAAGTTGAATAAGGAAGCTGAAGAAGGGGAGTCTGGGCTATGTTCCTGGATGTGAAGTGTGTACACCCAAATATCTCTTCGTCCTCCGTCCCAGGTGACGGAAAAAGAAGCGCAAGTGAAATTCTCACCTGGGACCGACGTTGATATCTCATTGTCAACTGTTTCGTTAGTGGGCGTAGGGTTTATGTTTGTTTACATCCTATAATCTGTTAAAAACAAACACACAACTCCCGCGGCTACCCACAAACTACACAGTATGTGACACGTCATAAAACGACAATTTATCCCCAATTTGATGAACTTTGCTGTTTGTTACTCTGTTACATTGATCACTGACGAACGCGCTTACAGGCGTGAGTCACAGCAGCCATTTGTTCATGTACCGTAAAATTACCCTCCATTGCATTTAGTCCAATCTTAGACCAAAACACCGCCATTGTTCGGGGGCGAGAGATAGCGAATTCCTAACACAATGAATCATATTCCTCCCCAAATTAGCCGAACATAAATCGTATATTTACATTTTATGAACGTTTCAGACATTTGAGCCCATTGTAACATAGATAACAGACTGTCAAACAGGTCAATTATAGTCCTACGCTGATGATAACGACCTCGAGCAGTCTACTAGAATGTGACGAGTGTGTTATTAGAATGTCTGAAGATGAGCACCCTGATATTTCATCTACGCCCTGTTACAGCCCCAACAACTCCTCGACACACAACACCAGACGAGGCAAAATATTAAAATGTTGTTGAAAAATCAAAGGATTGGAACCTTGCAGAAACGCCGCGGTCTATTTGCAGATTATTTTCAAGTATTTTTATTTGCAAGTGATTATTTTCATTGTTCATTTTTAATCAAATTTGATATTTTGAAAAACACTCCATGAAAATTATGATCATTATTTGAAGTATTCTTCCGTGACTGCCCAGTCGGTTTCACGAAACGTGATAGATTTTCTCAACTGTTCCATTCCTTTGGAATCCTCCCACACTGTCATATGCCCATTCTCATCTTTCTCTCATGTACAGTATTTGTTCATTTCTGGCCTTTCCACATCACCGTATACATTTGTTCCAAGCATCCATTCACAACTAGCCTTGCCCCGTAACCAGCAAGCTTATAAAATTGTACCTCATCAAATATTTAATACCAAACTATCATTTACAGAAATCTGCATCAATACGTTTACCTGGGGTTACTTTACATATACAGTAAAACCTCGTTATACTGTCACCGTTTGTCAAGAAAACGTTTGGCGTTATAAAGGGGTTTGGCGATAAATGGAGGGAAACTTACAAGGGAATTATTCGGGGGGGGGGGGGGGGGGGGGGAAGAGAAAAATCGACCGTGAAATATATTGACGGAAAGCGAGGTGGCAAATGAAAAGAAGGGCATTATGTCGAGGGTTACCTCTATACATGTACGTGATTCTTGCCAGCAGACATTAAATCTGAGCAGAGTTATCCTCCCTTTTAACTATTCCTCTCTAACATGTCAGCGCTAGTGTCTTTTTTACTTACACCCTATCTATGTTTCTCTTCGTTTTTTGCTGTATATGTGCGGTCACTATGTCCATGTAAAATTTTGCATTTTCATTTTCATTAACAAATATCACTCGGTAATCGTACAATGATCAGAAAGCTATAATCTCGCTGTCCGTTTGCGAAAAGAAAAACAAATAAAGAAGTTTTTATTGTGTTTTTATCTTGTAACAAAAACTT